CTAGTAATAATACATCCCACAGAATGCAGATTTGCATACAATGAGGGGCTGCATACACATAATTAAAAGGGCTCACATATATACACATAGGCAAACGTGTAGATCCCACCTGCTGGGGTAGTTCAGTCGGTAGAGCACGAAACTCTTAATCTCAGGGTTGTGGGTTTGAGTCCCGTGTTGGGCAAAAGATTCCTGCATGGCAGGGGGGTGAACTAGATAATCCCCAGGGTCCCCTACAGGTCTCATATTGTGGCTGCAGGCAACATAGGAGGACATAAGTACCTAAGTCACTGCACGAACATGGTGGCTTGTCAGATGGGCACTGCTGCCTTAGTCTCCACAGTACTTCCACTTCACCCTCTGATTAGAGGGTGATATATATATTACCATCAGTGGGCAGCAGCAGCTTGCCAGCTTCTGGAGGGCCAAAAACGCCCTATACCTGTTTTTGCTTTTTGTTTTTTTAGCCCGGGGTTATTGCCTATCTACTCATCATAGGCTAAACCTAAGAGGCAGTGTGTTATGTACTGAGTTGAATAGGATCCAAACTGCAGCAGTCTGATTGGTCCTAGAACAATAGGATCCAAAAGGCAGCAGTCTGTTTGGTCCTGGAACAATAGGATTCAGAATGCAGCAGTCTGATTGGTCCTAGAACAATGCAGCAGTATGATTGGTTGGCAGGAACTACCCAATCATGCTCCAGATAGAAGTGAATCCACAACCTGATTGGCTTACAGTAGAATTCCGGAATTAGCCAATCATGTGCAGCCCATTGTGTAAATAATGTATATAAAGCAGATACTTTGAGGGGACTTTCATTCATTCCTCCTCACCACTATGAGCTGAATAAAGAGCATGAAATCACTTTGCGACTCTGAGTATATTTCACAGTGCTAAGCCATGAAGGTGATTAAAAGTTTGGCACCATGGCAGGTGATGCTATGAAAGAAGCCATGTGTGTGTTTTGGTGCAGAGAAAGGAAAAATGCGAAACATTTGCCTTGCCTTAGGTAGGACTTGTTTTAACTCCCTATGATCAGAGATGGAACATATTGTTCTCTCATATTGTTCACAGGTCGTCCTGTTCTCTCAGAGAGAGGTTTTGCCCCATTGCAACAGATGTTGCAACAGATCCCTTCCAGATTACATGCAGCTTTGAAACTCGTTGCCATCCTAAGCAATTGCCTAGGTTGCTCTTCCACTCAGGCTGGATCCCACAGCTGACGCAATGGGGTTGGCGCATGTTTCCGAGCACAATTCAAAGTGTTGGTGCTGACTTTTAAAGCCCTAAACGGCCCCGGTCCAGTATACCTGAAGGAGCGTCTCCACCCCCATCGTTCTGACCAGATGCTGAGATCCAGCGCCGAGGGTCTTCTGGCGGTTCCCTCACTGCGAGAAGCCAAGTTACAGGGAACCATGCAGAGGGCCTTCTCGGTAGTGGCACCCGCCCTGTGGAACGCCCTCCCACCAGTTGTCAAAGAGAAAAATAATTACCAAGCTTTTAGAAGACATCTAAAGGCAGCCCTGTTTTGGGAAGCTTTTAATGTTTAATAGGTTATTGTATTTTAGTGTTTTGTTGGAAGTTGCCCAGAGTGGCTGGGGGGACACAGCCAGATGGGCGGGGTATAAATAAATTATTATTATTATTATTATTATTATTATTATTATTATTATTATTATTATTATTATATCTTGGTGCTTGAGGTGGAAAAATCAAGATGTCACTCACCTTTCCATGAATGTGTTGGGAAGCATTCCTGTGGAGCTGTGAAAGAGCTGTGATCTTGAGTGACTTAATAAAGCTGTGAGCTGTGATCTTGAGTGCTTGGCAGGGTGTTGGACTCGATGGCCCTTGTGGTCTATTCCAACTCTATGATTCTATGATTCTATAATTCCTACAGGTCAAGGATGGGGAACATGTGGACCTCTGTATATTGCTGGACTAAAACTGCCATCACCTCTGGCCATTAGCCATACTGACTGTGGCCCGTGGGAACAGGAATCCAACAACATTGGACGGTGACATAGTTCCTATCTTTGCTATAGGGTTTGCAAAGAACAACTGATCATGCCACTTGGGTGAAGAAGAAGAAGAAGAGTTTGGATTTGATATCCTGCTTTATCACTACCCTAAGGAGTCTCAAAGCGGCTAACAATCTCCTTTCCTTTCCTCCCCCACAACAAACAATCTGTGAAGTGAGTGAGACTGAGAGACTTCAAAAAAGTGTGACGAGCCCAAGGTCACCCAGCAGCATAGCTGTCAAAGTTTCCCTTTTTTAAGGGGAAATTCCCTTATTCCGAATAGGATTCCTTGCAAGAAAAGGGAAAAGTTGACAGCTATGCCCAGCAGCTGCATGTGGAGGAGCGGGGACGTGAACCTGGTTCACCGGATTACGAGTCCACCGCTCTTAACCACTATACCACACTGGTGAGATTTGTCTGTCTTTTATTCTGCCACCTTTAAAGGCCCAAAATCCATATTACCTTGCTTTGTGATATTGTTGTATTTGTGATGCAGAAATGGCACCTCTAACATAAGTATTGCCTCCAATACTGTACTTATGGTGTTTTCACTGCTCCTTATGCACAGAGATCAGGCAGAGCGTCTGGAATATGTAACTTGCAACTCGTAATTCAAGGAAGCTCACACAAAGAGCTGAGCAGATGAGATATGGGAGATCCATTATTAGATTTCCTGACACCTTTTTCTAAGCTTAAAAGCAGCTTGATGGGAATGGAACCACAGTGCAGGGTTTCCCCAATATAAACCCCTCCACCTGACATATCGTTGCCTGTGGTTATATAATGCAGTTCCTGTACCTGCTGTAGTGTCTAATGGTGTAAGAAACCATTAAGTTCTGCTCTGTCACTCTTGGCTCTTCCAAGAGTGATGGAAGCATGAACATTGTGTTTTGTATGTCTACACACACACACACACACACACACGTAAAATAGATGGATAGATCAATATCATACATGTATGCAGTGGCATTAATGTGTATCAGGAATAGCTAATCTGGTGTCATCCAGACATTATTAGGCTACATCTCCCATCATGCCTAACCATTGGTGATGCTGGTCATTGTTGATGTGTGTCCAGCAACATTTGGGGGTCACCATTTTGGCTACCCCTGATGTGACTTGGTAAAAAAAATTCAAACCATTCAAACAAATACTGACTCTTGCCCGACGAGGGGCTTAAAAGCTTATTCTGAACAATGAGAAAAACAACTCAAGAATAAAGTGGGAGAGCCAAGGTTTAGCAAAGGATAAATTTGAGCAAATGCAGTTGTAAGATTTTAAGAAGTTAGGCTTTGTTTCAGCCAAGGGTGAGGACTAAGGCTGTAATTAGATATTACAGCACATGTGAGCCTTCCACCAAGAGCAACAGCACCACTTCTCCTCTTTCTTTCCTAACGTCTAGTAATAAAATAATAAAAAAGTGACATGATTAAATTATATTACGAGTTCCACTGCCTCGTTTCAGCTTATTGGCCCATTAGAGGGGCACTGGACAGGGAAATGTGCAGTGTGATGACATCACATCACATCTTTTGTACTATGAAACATTGGGGAGGGGATGCAATGCTACTGGTTATAGTTGGGCTCAGGATTAAGCCAGACATGATCATCTGGGATAGCTCTGTCAGTAGAGCTTGAGACTCTTAAACTCAGGGTTTTGGGGTTGTGGGTTCAAGCCCCACAATAGGCAAAAGATTCCTGCGTTGCAGAGAGTTGTACTAGATGACCCCCACTGTCCCTTCCAGCTCTACAGTTCTATGATTCTGTGCTGCAAATAGGTTTTGACACAGGACCCCACAGAGGTGAGATAGAGCAGTGGAACTTGAAGCAAGATCTGCAAAGCAGTTGTGTTCTAGGAATGAAATAGCCAGCATTTGCTGTAAAAAAATTGTGGGAATGTTCAGGGTGGCAGGAGAGGATATATGTTTATTAACATCCTTTTTGAGGGATGCAGGTGGGGCTGTGGGTTAAACCACAGAGCCTAGGACTTGCCGATCAGAAGGTCGGTGTTTCGAATCCCCATGACGGGGTGAGCTCCTGTTGCTCGGTCCCTGCTCCTGCCAACCTAGCAGTTCAAAGGCATGTCAAAGTGCAAGTAGATAAATAGGTACCACTCCAGCTGGAAGGTAAACGGCGTTTCTGTGCGCTGCTCTGGTTTGCCAGAAGTGGCTTAGTCATGCTGGCCACATGACCCGGAAGCTGTATGCGACTCCCTCAGCCAATAAAGCGGGATGAGCGCCACAACCCCAGAGTCAGTCATGACTGGACTTAATGGTCAGGGGTCCTTTAATATCCTTTTTAACTTGCGCTAGCAGGTTCCTTTACTTAGCAGAGTGCATTCCCCTTTACACAGCAGAAAACTTGTTTCAAACTCTTGTGAGTTTCTTAAGACAATACGCAATTCAACCTGGCTTTTCCAGATTGAAATGTGTTCTAATATTTTCCTGGTAAGACCCACTGAATCCCTCCTAAAAGAATAAAGACGCCACAGTCTTATTCATAAGCAATAAAAAGAAAGTTTACTCATGATCAGGCAGAGCATAGTTTGATCCCTGAAGGCAGGCTTAAGGCTTAAAGTTACAAACATGTACAAACAGGTTTACCCCATATGTGGGTTGACCTAATGACTGCAGTTTGCAATCTGGGAAGTTCTCAGGACGAAGGGAAGATGGAAAAGAGAGAGAGAGTGGTCAGTGGCAGAGTTAGCTGCATGGGTGCCCAGTTTGTCACACACACCCACTCACACACCCCAGGATGACACCCAGGGCGGCCCACCACCACCGCCCCCCCCTACGCCCCTGAGAGTGGCAGCATGCCTTGGCCTTTTACCAGGTCTGGAAAGGTCATGCCCACCCACTAGTCACATGCAAGGAAGGATGCTCCAGGCCAGGAGGAACAGGAAATTTGATTGGCTGGACCAAACATTCTCCTGCATGTCCACTCTAGCAAAACAAGGAATGTTGTACTTGACTGCTCCCAGTGTATTACATCCAACAAAAATTAACAAACGCTCTAGATGAATGAGTGCATGGGTGCAACTTGCCATTGAAAAGTAAGAGAGAAACTAAAGTAAAGGGCTTCATTAATGAAGGCATTAAGCTAGTCAGTTCTTTCCAGGCTGTTGCAGGCAAGTTTCTGTCTCTTGTATTAGGGATGAGCTTTTGCATGAGAAAACCAGGAAGGTGGAGGGCAAATGCAGATCATGGAATGCAGTGCAGACTGCATCTTTTCCTTCTTTTCCTCCTGGTTCAGTAGAGAGGAGACAGCGACTCTACTTGGCTGGGCATTTAACATAGCATTAGCCTTATGTGCCTCAGCATCACACTGTTGGCTCATACTCAATTTCTTACTCTCCATAACTCCTATATCTTTTATAGAAGCAATGTAGCTGCTTCTGACAGTATATTTGCTTCATTTTCCCTGCACATGCCTTTTACATTTGTCCTCATTGATTCATTCTGCTTCTGCCTACCCAGCTAACCCGTTTGTTAAGACCATTCTGAATGCTTCGGGTTTTAATCCTTTCCAATTCTGAATCTACTGCAGATCTGAGAGGTGTCCTTTCTCATCCAAATCCATTATGGGGATATTAAATTACAATTGCAAAGTTACACCCAAACTGTGCATGTAGCTGTTTTGGTGGTGGCGTGCTTTGCTGCCGAGGCTGTTATGTCTGGGTTATATGTGGAAATGGACGTAGAGCAATGGGAGAAATGTAGAAAAAGTTCAAGGGGGAAATTGCAATTCCACTTTTGATGGGTCAGTCAGGGCTAAACATCAATTCATGTTTTCTTTTGCTCTGTTATTGGCAGAGCAGCAACATGGGGACGAAAAACAAACCAGTAAAACAGGTATTTGGGGGGGGGCAATAGTCAAATTCCTATTTGGTTGTTTCAAAAATTCTTTACCATCGATTAAGGCACCTGTCCTATCCACTAACAATTCAGTTTCTGGGGATTAAATGGCACATGCTGATATGCTGAAGAGAATCATCATAACAAGAGCCAGTGTGGTAAATGTGGTAAATGTGTATTTACAGACCCAAAAATTCAGCAGCAGAGCAGTCTTTGCATCCATGTCTTGCATCCATTCTCTCTCTCTCTCTCTCTCTCTCTCTCACACACACACACACACACACACACACACACACACCTCAAACGAGGCCACCAGGGGTTATTTGTTTTGGAGGGCCAACCACAAAAGTAAGAATTCTGATATACAAATATCCCTGTGTGTCTTCTGAACCAGTGGATCAATTCCTGGAAACTCCGGATGGTGTGCTGCTGATGTAGATTTTGGAAAGAATCAAGGATCTGCATCTGGATGTATAAATTTACACAGAGAAAATTAATAACGTTGTACTGGAGCAAACCCAACACTTTTCTCTTTTCATTAATGCAACAGAGCATAAGGTTTGCCAGTGATCCCTTAAGTCATAGAAGAACCCATTATATTAACACTAGGATTCACTAAGCAGGCTATGGACCATAATCTTGAGCCACAAGTAGGTCCATTGTTTTAAAGGTGACACCCCTGTAGTTCCTAGGAAGCATCTCATACTCTGCAGCCCTTCAAAAGCCTATGCAGTTCAGATATTTGTAAAGGTAAAGGTAAAGGGACCCCTGACCATTAGGTCCAGTTGTGGCAGACTCTGGGGTTGCGACGCTCATCTCGCTTTATTGGCCGAGGGAGCCGGCGTACAGCTTCCGGGTCATGTGGCCAGCATGACTAAGCCGCTTCAGGCGAACCAGAGCAGCTCACGGAAACGCCGTTTACCTTCCCGCCTATTTATCTACTTGCACTTTGACGTGCTTTCGAACTGCTAGGTTGGCAGGAGCAGGGACCGAGCAATGGGAGCTCACCCTGTCGCGGGGATTCGAACCGCTGACCTTCTGATTGGCAAGCCCTAGGCTCTGTGGTTTAACTCACAGCGCCACCCGCGTCCCAGATATCTGTAAGTGGTAATAATAACCCATTTTCTCACTTTCCCCCAGTTCTTTCTCCACCATAGGAAGACGACATTAATATTTGCTTTGCGAGACCTCCCACTGCTTCAGAGCTAAGCAATTCTGGAGGCACCTATCAAGGGACCTTCATTCATTGTTTGAAGATGCAAAAGAGCCCTGGAGGACAGGCAGAAATGGGAAGAAGGTGGAATGGAGGAAGGAGATTTTGCCCATCTACTTTGACTAAGGGCTTGTCCACATTTCTGCTTGTCCTGTGCCTAGAAAACACAGGTCGGAGCAGTTTTCCCCTTGCCCTGCTCCTTCATGCTAAATCAGAGCAAACATCAATCCAGAGAAAAGCCCAAATTGCCATTTTTCCCCAGTTAAATTCAGGAAAAATCACACTTAAGTAGCAGGACACGAAGAAATGTAGATAAGCCCTAACAAGTCACTCCCTGGCTCAAAGCTCTGATAACCCGTAAGTGACTGATCATTTTGTTTCTAGATTCACAGACTTGGAATGGTTCTTGACAACCGTCTCTAATCTGACCCTCTGCTTGATACAGGGGGAAGGAATTCAACGTTAAGTGGACCCAGTACTACAGATGCAGCCCAGATAGCACAGAACAGCCTGAAACTATTACTTCTTGTGACCTGGACACTATGCATTTGCATGCATTGGCTAGGACTGATGGGAGTTGTAGTCCAATTCACCAGGAGCACATCAGATTGGTGAAAGCTGCCCTGGTGCAAAAAATAAATAAATCCGTTTTAACAAATCCTAACATTTTGCAGTTAGGAAAGTGATTGGGAAATACATTGGAAAGGACAGAGTGGATGAGTGGTTAATGGGAACACCCCACAAGCAAGTCAAGATGACTCCTTGGTGAATGTTCATTGTTGTGTAACTGCTCCATAAACAGATTAGAATTAAGAAAGACTGGATTTAATCTAACCTCTGCCTTAGCATTCTGCAAGCAAATCAGGATAAATAGGTCACCTGCAGGAGCCTCTGGTTGGAACTCCTCATAAAACCAGATGGTGCTCCAGAACTTCTAAGGCCTTATGGAACAGGGACCAGTGGGCTAGCAAGGAAAATGGATACTCTGCCTGCTCTCACACTCCTTACTGTTGTTCATAGCAGTGTCATTCTTTCGAGATTCCATATATATTAACCAGAAAAGAAACGGGTTCCATGCTGCAGTCTTTACACCAATGGCTTACACCATTCTACGATGAGAATCTGTCCCCGTTGGAAGCACTTAATAATAAATCTCGCGCCAAACATATGGCCCATCACGATTGTTCAGTCATTAACTGCCCTCGTAGCTGGACACAATTTCTGCTAATGAAGCACTAATAAATGAGTGTGCTGATTGTTTTACCTGTTACTGCCACTATTATGAAAATGAAAAGGCCCTAGTGATTTTGAGAGCGAGTTTGTACATCAGGTAAAAGTTGTTGCGATAGAAAGAGCTCAAGCTTGGGCAAAGCTGAAGGGTGTTTTGCACCACTGAGCCGCAGAATGGGGCACGTTTTCTTCACCATGTGAGCACTATCCATTCCAGAGTGCAACTAGAAGTACTCAGCATTTCTGCAAAGCAAAGACATCTTCTCGTTTGGCAGGTGACCGTTTACACGAGGAATGTGGAAATAAAAGATCGCTGTCTGGTTCGGTGTAGTGCAGGCAAAAATTCAAAGATAAAATTGCTTGCATGTATGGGGATAATAGGGACGCGGGTGGCGCTGTGGGTTAAACCACAGAGCCTAGGACTTGCCGATCAGAAGGTTGGCGGTTTGAATCCCCATGACGGGGTGAGCTCCCGTTGCTCGGTCCCTGCTCCTGCCAACCTAGCAGTTCGAAAGTATGTCAAAGTGCAAGTAGATAAATAGGGACCGCTCCGGCGGGAAGGTAAACGGTGTTTCCGTACGCTGCTTTGGTTCGCTAGAAGCGGCTTAGTCATGCTGGCCACATGACCTGGAAGCTGTACGCCGGCTCCCTCGGCCAATAAAGCGAGGTGAGCGCCGCAACCCCAGAGTCGTCCACGACTGGACCTAATGGTCATGGGTACCTTTACCTTTATGGGGATAATAGATGGGCATCAGTAGCTTGACCCTGACAACAACAACAACAACAAAATGGCAAACTGGAGCCGAGCTGGCCAAAGACCTTTTTGGTGCAAGAGGCAGAAACCTCAAATTTCTCCTATTAATAAACCTGGGTTCACAATCTGCTGGAGAGTTCTCCTGTGCCAGCCCCACTGAAATGAAGAGGGGCTGTGCAAGAATGTGCTCTTCTTTCTTTCCATGGGGTTTGCTGAGGGGGGAAAAACAACTCTGTGGGTCAGAACTGCCTGGCTCTCACACAGCTGTCTTTACTGTCATTCAAGCTAGTGATGCCCTTGATTTGGATTGTTATGGAAAGTGGGCTCATGTTCTTCCTGGATCCCTGGTCCCATGGGACTCCCGTGGTCCCATAAGAGAAGAGAAGCTATGAGTTGGGGGGTGAGGTATTTGTTACAGCAGCAGTTTGGGGTGGTGGCCGCAATGGTGGTGGCATCTGCAGTGCTGCTGCGAGGCGAAATTCTCGTTTCGCATAGCCAGCTCTGGGAAGGACTTGATGCGGCCTTCTCTATTTACAGATGTTTAGAAGCCTCAGATTGAAGCAACGCAAAGGCTGTTTGCAGACCAGCAGATGCTTTTTTGAGGAAAGAAAAGGGACAGATTCTTATCTCGGCCACGTTTTGGATCAATGCAGGGCAGGCAGCCCCTCAACATCCTGCCTCGTTTCTGGCTGGGTCTTGATGAACGACCTGGGGGTGGGTGCAGGAATGAAGCAGGCCTTTACGCATGTGTGTGTGTGTGTGTGTACACACACACACACACACACACACACACTTCAGTGAACAGCCACAGATTGGGGGGGAGCAAAGGGGGTTAGAACTGGAAGCAGATGGTCACTTTGGCAGGGCGCCGGAAAAAAGAATCTGTTCCATACATCGCACACAGCAGTCTCGGCAGAGGCCTTTGCCAGGAAAAACAGAATTACCTCTCTGATTACAGCAAGCGGGCGCAAGCGCTCTTCCTGTAACACTGGGCTTTCTGAGCCAGCCAGGCCAAATATGGGCTGCTTTGGTGTGTTTTTTTTAAAGTGCAAAATAAAGCAATAGTGCTGCACAGCTCAGGCAATGGCCTGTAGAAGAGAGGTGGTTTTTTTCTAGCCCTCAGCTTCAGTACAGACCCCTTTTTTAAAAAAGAAAAAGAGAAAGTTTCAGTACAAAGGGGTGAGCGTGATCCGTCGTCACCCCTCTTCCCTTTGCTTTAGTGCTACCCTCCCCAACACATACTTTTGTCCTTGGAGCAACAAGTTCCAATTTTCAAAAATAAAAATCTCTCTCAATCAAAGAAGACTTGATGTTACAAAAATACATTCAAGAGATTATTTATTATTAAATCCAGCTAACCACCATTTATGTGGGACTTTGGGTCTGGCTTTGGACTGGAAAGTTCCTTTGTTGCTCTGATGGATGACCTCTTCCAAGAGCGAGTCACAGAGAGTGTGCTTCTCATGGTTCTCTTGCACTTCTCAGCACATGGTATCCTTCTGGATAGTCTCTCTGGATTGGGTTCTGGAGCCACAGTGTTGCAGTGGTTCGGCTCCTGCAAAGAAGGCCAATTTTAGAAGGTGGTGCGGAGTTACCTCCTTACAATTAGGCTATGCAGTTCCTCAGGGAACTGCAGGTTTTATCCCCTGCTATTTAATACCGTATTTTTCTGTGTATAAGACGAGGGGTTTTTATTATTAAAAAATGTTAAAAATTGGGGGTCATCTTATACACGGATAGTGCAGAGGGGGGGACAGGCGATTGGAGGCAGATGATTGGTGGCTTCGTCAATGCATGCAATTGGCAGTGGCGGTTAGCTCAACAACTCTGCACATCCCCCCCAAAAAAGCTTAACAACTTTGGGCAATCTCCCATTTCCTTAATTTGGAGTCCCAAAAAATAGGGGTCGTCTTATACACTGAAAAATACGGGTATCTATAGGAAAAGACTGGGAGAGATTAACCAGAGATGTAGACTTGACTGTCACCAATATGCAGATGGTACCCAACTCCATCCCTCAATTAAATACAATCGTGTAATGACTGTATATGAGATGTATTTGTACAGTCATACCTTGGAAGTCAAACACCTTGGGAGTCGAACGTTTTGGCTCCTGAACGCCGCAAACCCGGAAGTGAGTGTTCCGGTTTGCGAACGTTCTTTGGAAGCCAAACGTCTGACGCTGGCTACGTGGCTTCCAATTGTATGCAGGAAGCTCCTGCAGCCTATCGAAAGCCGTGCCTTGGTTGTCGAACATTTTCGGAAGTCAAACAGACTTCCAGAACAGATTCCGTTCAACAACCAAGGTATGACTGTATTGCTAAAGGGGTTTGGGAAATTGCATGGACACTAAGAAGAGCTCTCTGAGTACCTGATGGGTTGATAATTAACTGTGCATGTGTCTCTGCTATCTCTCACGTGGTATCTAACCTAGATCACATGACATTCAGTTGCAAATCTCCATATTGGGTGTGTGAGAAAACCGCCTCGGGCTGGAATGCAGGCTAATGAACTTAGTGGGAGATACAGCTCTGATGATAATACTTCACATTGGTAATACGCTGTACAACTGGGAGATGCCACGGATTCCCCATTTCTACAAAAAGGCCTTATGTGTCTTCCATCAGAAAAAAAGGTATTGAAGAAGAAGAGTTTGGATTTGATATCCCGCTTCATCACTACCCGAAGGATACTCAAAGAGGCTAACATTCTCCTTTCCTTTCCTCCCCCACAACAAACACTCTGTGAGGTGAGTGGGGCTGAGAGACTTCAAAGAAGTGTGACTAGCCCAAGGTCACCCAGCAGCTGCATGTGGAGGAGCGGGGAAGCGAAACCCGGTTCCCCAGATTATGAGTCTATGGCTCTTAACCACTACACCACACTGGATATTGAGTGAGGCCAGAGGCGCCAGCTTCTCCAGAACTGAGGGGGCCTGGCCCCCTTTAAAAAAAGATTGGGAGCCATTTTGCCTCAGCCACCAAGAGCCGGCACCTTTGAGTGAGGCTCAGCCCTTGCTTAATACAATTGAGCAGCTTCGCTAGTGGAGGGTGGCTCTGCCGGAGAGGAGACCCAAGTAGGCTCTATGCTATCATACCCTCCGTGTCCCTATTTTCCAGGGACAGTCCCGGAATTATGAAGGGGGAAAAAACCTCCCCATAACTTCTGATTTTATCCTGGAATGTCCCCATTTCCCCTGCCAGTGCTGCCGCTGCTGAGCTCAGGGACAGTGATGAGCCGGCGCTTGTCTCAGGCAGCGGCATCCTATTGCCTCTCCGTAGCCTCTCCATGGCCACTGCTGCAAGCCTCCTCCCTTGGGCAGCTCAAAGCGCTTGCTGGAGAGCAGGCGATGAGGGAAAAGAGGTTGCCACCACCAAGGGGCCGCCAAGAAGGCAGGGCTGCCCTGGGCAGGATGAAAGGAGGAGCAGAGCAGAACACAAGGAGTATTTGATTCATTCATTTATTTTTTGAAAAAATGTGTGTCTGAGTTTAACCCCTTTATAAAATTTATGGGTGTATGTTTTTCTTTTTGTAAATCAGAATTAAGGGGTTCTCTCAGGACAGTGGAGGTCATATGTGTTGTGTCCCATTGGTGTGTAGTGTTTAGTGGCAATCACCCTTCTTCTGATAGGAAATGCTTGGGGTGGAGGCAAGAAATGGGGGTCGAGGAGGGTCAGTTGTTTGGGAGTGAGAAATGACCCTTTTTTCATCAGAGGGATGTTGGCGGAGGGTTATGCGCTATCACAAGTGGTCCTCCCTGCAGTTCCAGCCAGTTTGGGATATATTTGTCTGGCAGGACATTAGGATTTCCCTTTCTGGAACACTTTGCTCCCAGACATTTTGGAGGGCAATATAGGGTCAGAGACCCTTTTGTATTCTCTTGATCGTGAGTTGATGTTTAGGGAGTTTGTCCTGAGCAGGACCCAGCAGCTGAGAAGGAGGAGAAAGGAAATATGCTAAGGATGTGAACCAAGTCTTACCCATAGGCACTAGGGGTGAGGGGCACCCTGGCACCGGACTCTAAGGGGCACCAGGCCGAGAGTCCGGGGTCTGAGAGTTGAGTCCAGGGAATAGCCTGCCCGTTGGCTCTGCACCATGAGTTTGGGAGCTACCGAGCCAGCAAGATGCTGAGGCGGTCGGCTGGCTCCACTCTCCTGCGCTCCTGGGACTGCACCCCGGCGCCGCATATGTTTAAGACAGCCCTGGATGTGAATGAATTTTATGAATAAAGGTCTCCTTAAGCATTATTTGAATCCATTCTTCACAAACAAAGGGGGAAATACAGAACCCCCTTTTGAGTATCTTCCTTGAAGGGTCTAACAAAGCTACTACCAAACAGGTAGCATTATATCTGAATATTGCAAAACCACTTAGACCTGCTGCGATCGTTAGCTACTAACTTGTCAGCTTTGTTCTCCTGAGGCTGTGGGTTTCTATTTATTTTTTAATAGTTTGTACTTCTTTTAATGCCTGGTTGACCATAATAAATATTCAGTTTATATTGATGGGTCTGAAATGGGACTATATTCGAACAAGCCATCTGGAAATTACCTTCGTTTATTAAGTTGCAAGCAACTTGCATCATACAACAAAATTTCGGTTCCAAGGGTTATGTGTATACACGGAAATTGCACAGAACCAAAATTACCTTTGGAGCCACCCTGCAGATAGCTAGCCTGCCATCTATAAGGCAGCCCGTAATGGGGAGAATCAGAGGTGGGAGGAAGCTGGAAGCCCCAAGTTGACCTGGCATGAAAATAGCTTTAAATATCTTGGCCTTTCTTTCTAGACCAGTCCTACTTCAGTGTCTGTGCAGAGTGCAATGGCTCTGGGAATGGTGGGGTGGTTATTGTGAGATCTTGTGGGAAGTCGGATTTCCCAGTGGGATCTCATAAGAGCATCCACACCATTCACAGATCTACTACACCACTGGCTAAAGGTGCCCTGCTCTCAAGGTGCTCCACGTGGGATTTGCCCAGGGAAAAAGGCTGAGAGCGTAAGCTCTTTTTTGTGCCAGATTTACTTGGGGTTTCCACCTTGCACCCACCTCTAATCCTTGCCCTCACTAGCCTGCCTTCAGCCGCTGTGGTTGAAATCACATCAGACTCTCCAAGTGTCCCTATTTTCCAGGGGCAGTCCCAGATTAACAGATACCATCCCAGTTTCTGATTTGATCCCAGAATCTGCCGCTTTCCCTTAGGATGTCCCAATTTTCATATGGGGGGATATGGAGTTCTGCGACCCCCAAGCTAAGGAGATAAGTAACTAGACAACCTTTAGAAGAGACCTGAAGGCAGGCCTGTATAGGGAAGTTTTTAAATGTTTAATGTTTTATTATGTTTTTCTATTTGTTGAAAGGTGCCCAGAGTCAGATGGGTGGGGTATTATTATTATTATTATTATTATTATTATTATTATTATCATTATTATTATCATTATTATTATCATTATTATTATCATTATTATTATCATTATTATTATTATTTAGTACTGTACATCCTTATTTTCATTGGAGAAATGTTGATGGGTATGTCACATACATTCAACACACATAAGATGCAAATTTGCTGTACATGATATTTGTATGCACTTTCTTTCTTAACTTCTTTTCATTTAGCTTGGTTTATGGCTAAGGTTTTATTTTTTTCATTGGTCTATTTGATCTTTGTTAATACACAACGTTTACATCAATTAGAATAGGAAGAGAAATATAAATCTGCATCCCACAAAGCTGCAATACGTGAATGTGAAGTTGTTCTCGCCACGTTTGCGAAGACCCCATTAGAATAACACAAAGGGGTTTTGTTATATTTCTCTTTGTTCTTTTATAGCTTTGCACTTTGTAATCTGTGACTTTGCCGTTTTAACCTGTTACTCTGACATCTAAATTGAAAAGCTGTCAGCCTTTATAGCATGCATAGCTGTGTGGAAGTTTCAAAATAACACATTGCTAAGTCACACATTACAAACTGCAGAGTCATGAATAATGAACTGAGAAATCTTGACTAATCAACCTCAAAAATGAACCCAACTGCCAAATAAAGAAGAAAGATGTTCTGTGAAAAGGAAACTCCCAAATACTTTTAAGGTTAATTCAACTAAAAATGGTCCATTATTATTGCTGCTTCTGTTGTTGTTGTTATTGTTGTTATTTAATAATAACATTATTAATGGATATATTGGCTGTGAGCCCTGGAAGACCTGCTCCCTGCTTTGCAGCCTTTTCCATCTGGCTTGGGAGTGCGGGGCTCAGACTGACTCCAGCTACAAAAGCTGAGGCTGTTGAACAGACACTTGGGCTGGGGTATTCTTTTGGGGGTTTTGTCGGGGCAGGGGAATGCTGCTGTTGGATTTTTGTATATTTTAGATCATGTGATTTATGCAGAAATCGTTCCATTTGCCTGTGTATTTTCTGATGTTTTATTTATTGCTTACGACTACTTTTGTAACTTGCAGTTATGCTTTTTTGCACGTTGTAAGCCGCCTTGAGCTAGTTTTGAACTGTGGAAAGGCAGCATACAAATAAAATTATGTATGTATGTATATTTATTTATATAC